GCAGCACTCTTTCATTATCACACAGGCTCATTTACATGCACCGCCCTCTGTCCCACTATCACAAACACAGCCACAGTGGTTACTCACACGCTATTATTGGTACATGTTGAATTATTTGATCACTATAATATGAAGCTGCTTTTAAAGTGGATTCTTGGTCAAATGTGAGTTATATATTGTATGACTGTAATTTTAAACTGTGAACTGTGCAATTAATCAATTTTAATTATGATTATAATTGTTGCTTGAATCAATTAAAAAATGTCATAAAATAATAAAAGTAATTGTTTTGCTTCTCATCCAAAGACTTGATTGATATTGAAGTAACACTGGTGAGAAATCTCCTTTATAATAATAATAATGGAAAATATGAAATAAAATTGGCAGCTGAAAAATTCCTGCAATAGACTAACAATGCTTGGGGCTATTCCATAGTAATTCCCTTTAGGGATAGTTACTACGAGCCTCATCTCTCACAGGATGTAGCGGTTTGAACCATCATTCATAGAAAATATGAATTAGTAAAGCATTAGGGGGCTGATTAATGTCTCTGGGAGAGACTTTGAAAGAAAAGTGGAGCGCTGTGAATATTTCAGCATTGCTTTATATAGCTCTACAAAAAGCCCCCAAAAGCTGAAAATGATCTCACCTTTTTGGATGGATTTACAAGTTGCATTACTGGATTCAGTAACAGTTTTGCACAAGCTCTGACTTTGAAACCTATTCAAATAAAAAAATGTAAATGATCCTGCCATTTAACTCACAAGTGCACTACTATACTGTATATACTGTGTAACTGTATCACATACACACACTATAGTCTGTTTTAGAGCATAAATCCTTTAATAATGGTCAAATGTATTCCTTTAATGTGTGAACTCTGCTCAGAACTACATGCTTTTACTAACAGCGCACTTGCTGTAGGCCCAATCATATCATTGACGATTAGAAAAGACCAAGTCTCCATTTTGATCTATATACGTAAACGTCATTTAACTACAGTGCATATTGTTGCTTAAAGCCACTGCATGTGAGGCACACCGATAAATAGAAATGAAAAGCAATTCAACAGCATCCATGTTTTTCCTATAGCCCTAATCCTTCTTAGTGGGGAAGCGATAAGCATGTTTTGACTTAACCACAAATTTCTCCTTGTTGTTTACGCGTTCTTTGCCAGCCCGCATGGATCCCTGAAGTGGTTGATAATCTTTGTGATGGCTGTTTGGCAGGGACACAAGGAAACTACAGCCTCATGGCCCAGGCACAGTGCAGTAAAGGTGTAGAAATCAAACTAACCTCTGTGTAGGTTTGCCTTTCTTTTCCCCTCCCAGTGTGCGCTTGTTTAAGTCAATGATAAGCATCTCTCTGAAGTGCAGGCATTTCTCTATGTGCTTTTTGGAAGGAAGGCTGAGGGAGTTGGCACCATTTTACTCCATAGTATATTTACTAAAAAGTGATTGAAAATGTTACAATTTCCGTTCCCATGTGATATTTTAAAGGGTCTATATTATGCTGTTTTTAATGTATGTTATAATGTTGTTTCCTCATCACAAACATAGCTGGAGTTTAGTTTCATTCACACATTCACACAAATCGTGCATATTTAGGCTTGAGCTCTTCTCTCAAACAGAAAACACTCTGTTCCACTTTGTGATGTCATGTGACAATACAGGAAGTGCTCCACTGTTATTTTTTTAAACTCCTTAAACCATCACTAGAATAATTTGGATGATTTTTAGCCCTGGAATTGCCAGTGGCTATTGAACAAATGGTAAAAGGTAGCTGTTAAGTTGGAAACTACCACTACATGACACGACAAGGTGGAGTAGAGTATTTTGAGCTTTGAGCTTTGGGGATATAGACAGACAATAATAAAGGGTTACTCAAATGTCTGAATGAAACAAAACACAACTCCAGGTAACAACATTGTAACATGGATAAAAATGTACAAGAGTCAATTTTGCGTAATATAAGACCTTTAAATATTCTTATTTAATTATGTTTTAGTATAGCATGTGGTGATTGTATGTGTGATTTGCCTCGTTGATGCAAATTGAGGTCGTGCAGTTGAAAGACAGGAGTGAATGAAACCTATTACATCATTACCATCTGCGCACTCACTCTTTCTAGGGTTATGCTAACTCCATGGGATTTCTTTTGAAGAACTGAACCCATTTTTAATTTCTTTTGTGATTTTATTTAATTTTTTTAATATTGTATTTTGGTGGAATTTTAAATGTTTCTGATGATGAATGAATGTGTTTTGTGGCAGCTTGGTTCAGTGATCTGTTTTCTCCAAAATGGGAACTCAAACAACTCAACAAATTATTTTCATGAATTTATGTATTTTAAATGCAAACCTCAATAGTTGTTTGAAATGGCCTGATTCTGTCTTAGAGCCTGTATGAAAAAAAACACCATATGTATGTGCTTTGAGATAATTACATAAAAGCACTGCATTATAATAGCTATTGGGTAAACCATCTCACGGGTGGCAAGTGAGATGCGTTTTTTTATCATTTTATTACACAATTTGCTTCTAAAACTGGCTCTTAGACAAATTTTGTTGATCCACAAGGGAAATTATTTGGACACAGTAGCTCACACATCACAATATATTATAATAACAAAAACATTAATTGTAATAATAAATTCTAAATAAGTAGCAAAAATAAGAAGAGATTGGTGTCAAATAAGTCATAATTATATAAATGTGTATGTTCAAGTAAAAATAAAATAGAGAAATATACACATTTATCTACAAATACCTCTATCTCTAGTTTAAGATGGTGACCCCTCCCCCTTTGACTTTGCTGGTATGGATGAGCCTTGAAGCTCAGTTGGAGAGGGTGAGCAGAGGGCCTTCTGCTTTACTGATGAGACAATAATTAGTGCCCCCAGCTTTTGAGGGAGAGGAGATGGGCTTCACTCACTTTGATGCAATTTGTTTTCTGTTGTTTGTTAAGTGGTGTTGTGAGTGAGCACATTTTAATAAACCCAGTCAATATTGTCTTCCCATGTGATTGAAATCTACGGCTATATTTGTTCAGTTTCAGATGTCCAATTGTCATAATCTTCAAATAAGATGAAATTATCTTGAAAGAAACTTGAACTTTGAAATAATTTCAAGTTAAAGGTCCTATGTTTCACAAAATTGACTCTTGTGAGCTCTGAGCGATGTTCGAATGCTAATCTCAACAAAAATATACCTGGAGTTGTGTTTTGTTTCATTCACACGCGTTTGAGTAATCCTATTATTCCTTATTCCTTATTATCCTTTTGCCTTTAGTTCACTAGGCAATTCCAGGGCTGAAATTGTTCAAATTGTAGTTAAGGTGTAAACACAGTGGAGCACTTCCTGTATTACCACATGATAAAATGTTTTTAGTTTGAGAGAAGAACTCTGAAACAAAATACACACAGGTATTTTTTTGACGAGGAAACAATATTATAACAGAGATCAGAAAATACTGTAATATGGACCCACACTTGTTTAAAAGACAAATGTGTATCAGTGTATTTTTGCAAACCTTGGTAGGGCCAAACTCTCTCCTTGACACTCCCATCCTCTGCATTTGCCCCGCACTCCCGAGTTTGTTCGATTGTCAGGAGAACACATGCAGTGATGGACAGCGTTTCCATGGAGATTATGCATTTTCATTTGGCCGTGAGATACTGTGTCATGTCTACTGCTTTGCTCCGTCAGGGGATGAGCACAGGGCTGAACCGGCCAGAAAGATAGTGTTCACTTCAGCACTTTTGGCCCAGTGATTGAAAGTGTGTGTGCACTGGAGCTACTATTGCTGTTTCAGGACTTTTTATGACTATAGATAGATAGTATTTCTGGAACTGTTCTTCACTTCTCTCTCCAAGTTGTTGCAGTTATGTTCAAGTATGATCCCATTAGGCCTGTCATGATAACAAATTTTAAAGTGCAGTATATTGCTACAGAAATATACTATGATACTGGAAGATAATCCCAGTAAACCATTTTTAAATCAATAATATCATTCAAAAGGCCTTAGCTGCAACAAATAAAAAGCAGAATTAACCAATAATTAGCCTTAGAAGTTAGTTATTCAACCCGCTAAAGCTTAACTACCCAATAATGTCCCCACGTTTAGAAAGAAATATATACATGATAACTGTTGAACTCCAAAATGTATTTATATTAATTATATTCAACTTTCATATATTGAAGATAAGTTCAAGATCTCATGTCATTTTGTAAAGTGATTGTAAGTTTCTAAGAAAGAGAAAATGAGACCCAATGTTTTGTGGTTACCTGCTTTTTATTTGTAACTGTATTTTTGTCACAGTTGATGGTTGTAAAAGGAAGAAAGTATTTATGAGGGAATGGATTTCAAAGATGTATTTTGTAGATTTATTTCGGAAAAGTAAAGTAATAATAAAAACCAAGTTCCATAAATCCAAAAAGAATGTTTCCACAGGTTATTAAGGCCCATTTTGGAATGAAAAAATAAAAATCACTTTTGACAGCATTTAATTTGTATTAAACCTAAGATCTGTATTATTTGTGTTAGAGTAGAGCACACAGTTCTTTAGATCTGTATGCGTCTCCTGTTCGTCAAAGCCTTTATATTCAGAGAGGTCCCTCTACACTCCGAATCCATTTGCTTGTGTGCTTGTTTTGTAGCATCCTAGCTCTGGCTTCCTGCTGTCCTTCTGTGGAGATCCTACTGCTTTAACCCACTTTACTCTAGAGATGCTTCTTTGCCAGACGTGCAAAGCAATGCTAATAAATTCAACCCTAACAAGAGTCTGATTATCTTATCGATTCCTTCTTTCAACTTCCTTGCCCCTTGCAGAAAAAAAAAATCTCTTGTACAACTACATTTCTCTGGCATTGACAAGCTTGAATGCAAATTATGCATGCCCTTGAATGATGAAGGTGTTGATATTTGCACTCCACTGTGAATGCTATGCTAATGCTAATGCTACTGCTTCTGCTAATGGCTTTGCTCTCCCTCCTCTTTCAGACTGAAGAAGAAGTCTCAGTCGGTGGATATTGGGAGTCAGGGTTTCTCCCCGACTTTGGTGCCAGCCTCGCCCCTTAATAGGACGGCGCCCCCTGTTGCCAAGACGCTCGCAGTGCAGGAGAATAACACCACCAACTCCCAGAAGCGTAACCCCAGAGTCGGAGAGCTGAAGAGGGGCTACACCATAGGTAAATAGTCCTATAGCTTTAAACAGCTTCAGCTTTTTTTTGATCCTGTGACAATCTGCCACTCTTTCGTACAGTATATCGTGATTCAGTTATTTTCTATTTAAAGCTACCATCTGCAAAATTATTAGATTTTTTTATTTCTGATGTGAAACCTGCCCCCCATCCCCTCACTTGGCTTTTGTCCAGGCTCACCTGAGCTCTCTGATCTTCTTCTTTTGGGCCAATGCTGGTCCACCGTCAGACAGAAGTAACATAGATGCCATCTAGTGGTGATATGTAAGAATACTACGGCTGATCAGTCAATCTAGTTACAAATGGAAGAATTTAACCCTTTCCACCACCCTCTCCTTTTGGTCAGTAAAACACAAAGGGAACATTACTTACTGACAAATCAATCTTCCATTGTAGCTCATTTATAACTTAAAGTAAGTTCTATATTCTGGCTCCACAAACTTCCCAAAAATTAAGGAGAAAACTGGATTAAATGTGCATTTGCCCAAACTCTTGTTTCTCGTAAGTGTATCTGAAGAAACATTTAATTCAATTTTATAAGCACTTATTCTATTATGTATCTTCTATAACATTATAAATTGCAGCTGAGTATCGAGGACTGCCTTATTATTATTCTGAGTTTGTAGATGTTTAAAAGTTAATGCTCTCTCTGCTGCTGACCTGAACTTTTTACTCAGTAACTGTCTGTTCCCATTTGGCATCTCCCAATTCATTTGCTGTCTAGACTTTATAATTGTATCACTCTTTTGGGATTTCCTTCTATGTTTTGGTAGAGAACAGAACGTCGGCGAGGATCTATTTCTGTGTCAGACTTGTATGCAGCGGTGAGGGGAGAAGAGCACTTGTGGGAGCCCACCGTTGGGAGAAGATGAAATGAGCTTCAGTTAAACTAATTCAAAACTCATAAACGCATCAAAGGATCTTTGTCCACTCAGACTTTTGCATGATTGAGTTGGCAAACAGTTCCGGTTAAGGTGCTAGACAAAAAAAACAAAAAAAACAACCGCATAACAAAAACACAGCTAATCCCCAAAGAGTAATGAAATAGTTGTTTTCTATATTTTCATCTTGACACCTGAAATGAAGGGCAATTTTCTAATAGTAGTTGCACTAGTACACAGAAACAGACAGTCTTGTTCTTGACAAAGATTGTACTAGTAAATAGGTACATGAAATACACAGACATGGTCAGAAATTAAATCATGAAGGACAGTGCCATACAATAACACTACTACTATTACAACTATAGTACTACAATTGGCATTACAAATATTACTACTGCTTCTAATAATGTTACCACTATTACACTATTACCACATCACATACAAATACATAAACTCCACATTTTATTGATACTTCTACTTCATCTTCTACATCTCCACTGGCTACTACAACTTCTCAGTAATCTACTTTATAAACATCTTATCTGCTGACTGTGATATCTTGAAGTACTTCACCGTAAAGTCAAGCTATTAAAATATTCCCTTCAAAATTAATATATGTTAATGTATTTAAAATGCTACCACCTCGTTCCTATATAAGTGAATTAGTATTTTTCCAGCTTGTCCTTCAACCTGCCTGTCGGTTCCTTATGTAAATCAATGCAGGGTAAACATCCTATAGCGGCGCTTGTATAATGCAGGAGTGGCTCTTTAAATGGGGCAGTGTTGAGGTCAGAGGAGGATCATGTCACATTGGATCGTTGGTGTGAGAAAGGGGCTCAGAGGACGTGAAGACTGTAGCATAGCGCTGTGCATGCTATAGGCATTCTATACAGTCATCAAGTATTGACTGGTACAGATGAGAGCCATTGACAGGTGGAACCATTGATCTGCGTTGGTCCATATTGGTTCAGTGTGTGAGGGTCAGTATGGAAATGGTGTGATAAGAGACAGGTGGGCGTATTGTTGCTTGTTTGTTTGTTTGTTATTTATTTATAGATGCTATTTTAGGAGAAACCCGGGCAATGTTTACAGTATTTCAGTATTTGTTACCATTGCACAATAGAGTCCAGCCACAAGGAGTCAGTAAAGGTTTTTTTTTTTTTTTATGTTTGGAAATTTTTGGTATCTTTTGGGAATTTGTAGATAGACTGATATTTTGGACTTTTTATTGTATCCATATTTGCCTTAAATCTTCAGTACAGATCCATATTTAGTTTTGTGCAACCTGCAGGCTAAAAATAGTGCCAAGAGATAATTGCTCTCTTAAGGTTTGTGATGAAAAAAGTTTGGAATACATTTAAATGGCATTATTTGGGGGAAAATAATCAAAATTCTTCCTACATATCAGCCCAAAAATATTGGCACATCAGTTGCTCTTTGTCATGATCTTAAACAATTTGATTCTAAACAATTTGTTTTGGCATCAGTCATGAAAAAAACATTATTAATGTTTTTAATGCTTGATGTGCATCTGACTGTGAGATATTTGTATAGAGTGCAGTGCAGCTGTCACTACTACTTCTACTACTAATTATCTGATCACTGAACCATATACTCTTTTATGTAGTATGGCAGATAATATATGCAGTTACGATACGATGCTACTAGACTTGTGAAGTGCCTTGCCCGTGGACATCAGTGATTTGATTCTCTTAATTGAATACTTTTTAAAAACGATTTGTGGATTAATGAAACATACATTAATAGTGCACTGTGCAGTGCCTGGTTCAAGCTGAAGTCTGACTGTTTTTCATTTCAAGCCGAGTAAATGGCGTCATAAGTGGACTTACTTTTAATGTCCCGGTCCACACTTACCTTCCATTAAATCCATTAGCAGGTCACAAGTCAGCAGTAATGAGAAAATGTGAGTTATAGTGACTTCATGATTTAAATTTCAAAGCTACAAAATATAGGAGCCTTTTAAGCATGAGTCACCACTGTTAATCATTTGCTGTGGGTGATGGTGGCCTAGATAAAAGCCCATTTGAATAAAGGCGTTGAGTGAAAGTGCATCTGTCACTCATCTCCACTGTTCCCATAATTGGACACTGATTACTGACGGGCCGCTCCCTCGACTTCGTATCGTGATGTGATCTAGAGAGAAACGCCCCTTGGCATTTTCATATAGTAAACTTGGAGCCACACAGTTCCTCCAGGGCTTGATCATGCTAATTTATTCTAATGGGATAGTAATAATGTGCCAGGCCTCTTGCTGTGCTGTCTGCCAAGCTTCAGATAGACCTGTCATTACAGCCACATCGCACATTCAACATAGACATTTTAATAACACTCCCAATGAGCCTCCTGTTGTGAAAACACCATCGGCGTTTTCACCCTGATGCATGGAGTCAACGACTGATAAAGTGATAGTATTCTTATGGCAGTGTCAAGCAAGAGGAGAAGAAGATGGAAGATAGGCAAGTTGTCGTAGGTACCCCAGAAGCCTCCAGTGTTTCTTGGTGAGACGTGTGACTTCTGACTCCAGCTCTCCCTGGACTCCAGATCTCCTGCTTGCCCGTGCCCAGTCTGAACGCCACGCCTGACCTTTACATCATTATAGGCAGCTGTAGCCCCGTCTCACAGCTCCTCCTGTTCAGTGGAACAGGATACCTCAGGGAAAACCTTCACAGCACTGGACCATCATTAGTGACTTGGCTTTGTAACGCTAAGAGATGTAGATTTAGCAACGCTTGTCTGTTTAAAATATTCTTTGTTTAATATGTATTTTTAACAGTTTTTTTTTTTTTTTAATTGTAGTTCTGTATTTATAACATTACCCTTTTGGCACATACACTGGACTTTCCTTCAATATTCAGACTACTAGTAACTGCAGACTCAGTAAGCATTGATTACTAACCACAAACTGGAGCATTATCTTTGTTAAAAGGCTACAGAATGTGATTTAAAATTAATTAATTAATTAAATTATAATAATTTAATTATTATCATTTACTAGATAAGTAGTACAGTGGTTCTCAAAATGTGGTGCCTGAACTGGTTCTGGTTGTAAGTGGACTCCTTTTCAGTTTTTGTGTTACTTAATTTAAAGTAAATTTTATTTTAAAAAATTCTCCTCCTTTGGGTTTAGACCTTGTTTAGAACTTTTGAAGACACAGTGATATTGTCCCATTTTTAGACCAAGCCCTAGTTTAGACCTGTTATAGTCCTAATTTCTATTATACGCCTAATTTTGTGGTGGTACTAGTACAGTGGAGGCTGAATATTTTCTTAGGTTGTACTTGAAGTAGAGACAGGCTTTTACAGCTGTCTGGCTTTTTTCTAATATTTGCATAAAACACTGTAATATTTACTATTCTGTTATCTACTTCACTTCTGTATCAAATATACTTTTTCAACCAGACCAATCATCAGATTTTAAAGATATATTTTCCATCATTAATGGGTTTTTACTCCGCACAATTCTTTTGGTTTTCTTAAAACCAAAAGAGTGTTAAATAAGACTGTAATTAATTAATTAATCAACTTGTTCAATATATGAAACCTGAAACAATAATTTCTGGGTCTCAGTATTTATCATATGTACAATTTCTTCGCAGATTTTACCCATTTTTCTACTATGATAAGATTTGAGCTGGATCGAGTAAATACATAACTTCTATGGCAAATAATTGGTTGATTCTGTTATTCATTTGTTGTAGCTCAGGCCTTTAACTATACTATTTATTTAAAAATTTTACTATACTATTTATTTAAAAGCTGGTTTACTGGCTTTATCCTGCTTTGTGTCAGTGGAAAGTAGTTTGAATATTACAGTTTATCGCAATATTTTCTGTAGCAATATATCATGCTTTAAAATGTGTTATTGTGACCGGCTTAGTCCTAAAACATAAGAGGATGTTAAGTAAAACCAACTCACTACCACAAAATTAAGTCCATGTGTGTCTGAAAAAGCAGCCATAGATATTCCTGCAGAATGTGTGTGTGTTCCAGGTAGTCCTCCTAAAGCAGAGGATCTGGCGCTGTCCTTGGTGCTGAAGCAGATCTCATGTCTATGCTGAGGGGGAGCACTCACAGCATGTCACT